TCCTCCTCCTCCTTCTCCTTGGCCTCTTCTCCTCCCCCTCCTCCTCCTCTTCCTCCTCCTCCTCCTCCTCCTCCTCTTCCTCCCTTGTGCCTGCACTCTCTGTCCCCGAGGACTGAGCCGAATCTCACCGGACCAGGCCAGATCTGTATTCCCCCCATGCTCTCTGCTGGAAAAGCCTTCAGGGCTTAGGTGCTTGTTACACAGTGAGAGGCAAACCGACTGGCGAAGCCGAGGGTAACTGAGCACCTGGACATCCCCGCCAAGAGCCACGGTACCCGAGTCGACCGTCAGAGTGCTGGGAGCTGAGTCAGCTGGGTGCTGAAAGGCCAAAGCACAGTACCGGGAAACCCCGCAGGAGGCACAGGGACCGGAAGTGACATCAGAGCTCTGAGCACCTAACCCTTCAGGTGGATGCCTGTGGGTTTAGGATGGTTAATCAAACACTCACATGTAAACGCACACATGACGAGAAGGTATCGCGTCTGAATGCTCACGGGAGCGCGTGTGATCACACATAAACACAAGTGTACCTGCATGTGACCACAAGCTGTGGCATATGGATGGACAACACACACGTGACATATGTGACAGGCACAAGACGTATACATGCGCGCACGGTATTACATGTGAATGCATGACACACACGGATACATGACATACACCTATGACTCATACATGACACACATCCGTGCACACGTGATCACATGCTGTCGCATATGAATGCACAGCACACACAACACACATAGTACACACTTGAATGCATAATATACGTGGACCATACCTGACATGTGCAAGACCCATGTATGCACGGGATGGAAAGCTATCACGTGCAATTGCATGTCACATGTGACACATGCATGACACATGGTAGAGTGAGACCCTTGGGAATGCATAGAATACATATCACACTTGCATGACACATGCACGATGACATGACTGTGAATGAGCAATGTGAACACATACCACACAGGACCCATGCGTGGCACACACATGACACACATGATAAAGTGAGAGATGGCTGCATGATTAATGGGCTATTGATGTGCACATGTATGTGGAGCCCAGACATCCATGTTGCATTCCTCCATACACACACACTCGCACAACGGCATGGTGGGAAATCAAGGCAGGAATTTCCCACCGCTGGTCACCAGACATGCACGGTCAAAAGCAGAGACACAGATGCCTGCGCGCTCTACACTCTATGTAGTTCCAGGGTGCTGTGCACAGTCCAGAACGCTCTGCGTAGGGAAGGGTGCTTCTCGCAGTCCAGAGGACCCTCTGTCTAGGGAAGGGTGCTGCGCACAGTCCAGGATCTTCTGTCTCGGGATGGGTGCTGCACACAGTAGCACTTCCCACGCCATCTGAGGAGATGAAGACCTGGACCACGCCCTCCGTCACCAAGACTCGTCCGTGTGATTCTAGCCCTTTGTCCACTTAACAAAGCTAACCAGCACTTGGCTAAGTCCAGCACTATACGCCTGCCTCAGTTTCCCCATGTGTAACACAGACACGTAGCCGTCACTTGTGATGACACGGGACACTGTTGCAGGCTGGGAAGTACCAAGCCGTAGGGAGTAACGTGCGCAGTACTGTGTGTGGCCGGAAGGTCACCGGGGACACACAAATTACAGAAGGTCACATATTAGACCCTGATGTCGGGATCACACACGTGTGCGACGTACCAGAAATGAGCGTCCGGCGACAGCGCCGGGGGACTGACTGAGTAATTAAATACAATATCCTCAGCGTACACAATTCACCCAGTGCTGGGGGCCTGGGTGCTGGGTGCTTCCTGCCTGAGTAGGTGTTGATGGCCGTGCGGACTCGGCGCAGGGAGTGCGCACAGTTCATGGATGGATGGATGGTGATAATGATGGTGATGATGTCATAGAGATGGTGAGAGTAATGATGTCATCATGACGATGGTGATGCTGCTGCTGATTATGTCATCATGACGACGATGATGGTGGTGATGATGATGTCATCGTGATGATCATCATGATGATAATGTGATGGATGATGATGGGTGATGATGTCATGACAACGATGATGCCATGGCGATGAATGATGGGTGTTGTGATGATGTCATGATGATGATGGTGATGGTGATGACCACGGTGATGATGATGTCATGGTGATGATGGTGATGATATCACGATGGTGGTGATAATGTGATGATGTCACCATGATGATGATGTCATGATGATGGCGAGTGGGTGTCTGCGTCAGTGTGTAGCCTGGTGTGCGCCTGGCTGCTGCGCTCAACATGTCAGCACACACATGGCTGGACCCGCACATAGGACACTCGTGTTGGATTCGGCGGGGCTGGGTGGATGCGCAGTTCGTGCCTCTGGCTCTCCCGGTCCTGCTGCGGCCCCGACTCAGGGTTGGCCGGTGAAACCTGACCCAAAGGGATCCATCCGCCGCCCTCGCCCCACCTCCTCACCGCTTCCGGCCTTTCACTTCCGGACACCCTGATGAGCACTTGGGGGGAGCATGTGCCTCCCACAACCCTTTGCGGCTCCTTTGATCTCAGCCGCACTTACTGCGGGGGCGACCCCGTCAATTTCACAAAGTGGACCCTGGGGAACTGAGCACAGCACCTGGGCCGCTGGCTGCCCCCCCGCGGTGACCCCAATTATCCTCCTTAACTCCAGCGCCGCCACTTGTGTCTTAAAGGGGAAGTGTGGTCCGGCCGGCTCATTTATTTCCCTCCGGGAAACAACGGGGCGGGGTGGGGGGCGTTGCGGTGTCGGTGTTCGTGTAGACCCGTGTCCTCCGCCCGGTTCCCACCCAGACGCGGTTGCATCATGAGGGCACTGATGTCACCAGTGGGAAGTAATAGTATCTTGGGGCTCTAACGTAACCGGTGGGTTCATCCTTGAACGGATTCACAGCCAGATATTGCCGGGGCGGGGGGTGGGGGGAAGACTAGTGGGAGGAAGTGACGTCACAGTGGCGTGGCATGGAAGGGGACACTGGAACCCCAGTCTCTTGTTCTCTCTCACTTCCCTTTTCTGGGATATATACTATTCCTCAGAGACTGTTTAATGGAAGACTTGTTCCCCCTAGTGTGGCCTTTGGGAGGTGATTGCGTCACGAGGGCTCTGACGTCACCAGTGCGAGGTGATCACAGCGTGAAGGCTGTGTCACCATCAACGAGGGCTCTGACGTCATCAGTAGGCTCATACACGGATGGATTTATAGATCAAAGAGATCCTGGGAGGTGAGGCCTAGTGGGAGGAAGTGAAGCAAGAGCAGACGTGTCCTGGAAATGGATGCCGGGGCCCCAGTCTCTCCTCCTCCCTCTACTTCCTGTCCGCAGTGACTTCAGCATCCTCCTCAAACCTCAGACCCCATATCAGCACCGAGCCTGTGGGGTGCAGACTGTGATCAGCGCCCATGGGGAGGGGAGACTGTGATCAGCACCCATTGTATGTGGGGGACACAGTAATCAGCACCCATCCTGTGGGGGAGATTGTGATCAGTACCCACGGGGAGGGGAGACTGTGATCAGCACCTTGACTGACACTCTGTGGGCCGGAAGATCCTCAACAGGACATGTCCGTGGTGGGGGGGCGGAAGAGGAAGAGGAAGAAGAGGAGGGGGGAATCGGTGGCGCACGTGGTCGTGGTGCTGTCCTGCTTGCTTCTCAGTTGCCTTTGGGGTGCTGACAAACCTTCCCCAGGTTGAAGTGATTTTTGGAGTCGCAAGTGCTGGTGCTTGGTGCCCCCTAGTGGCCGAGCGCGAAACTAAAATAAAACCTGGGCGCAGAGTCCATGTCACTGGCGGAAGTCCAGCCACAGGCCGCAAGGGGTCAAAGGTCGGGTGATCAATAATCGATTGATCGATGGATTGATGACCGATTGACTGATTGATCATTTTATCTCCCTGGACAACGCAGGGTCGGAAAAACCTCTGACACTCCTGACCATCGAAGTCATTGATTATATGCCGATTCTGGTCATCCGTCAATCTCTGACGTCATGTTGCTGTGACGTCACAGAACACCGGCGCCCAGACCCTTAGAGAAGAAACAGGTTTATTGTGCGTTGTTCGTGGACGATCCGACTGAGGTTTGGGGAGGTGGGGGAAATGAGGGCAAGGGGACTCGTGGGAGGAAGTGACATCATTGAGGGTCTGACGTCATGAGGGCGTGTCCTTGAAGGAGACATTGGGACCCCAGTCTCTTCTGTCTCCCTTTTCCGGGCTGTATGATCTTCCTCAAAGTCTGTTCTCTAGGAGTCTTGGTCTCCCAGTGCTATGGTCTTTGGGAGGTGATCACATCATGAGGTATCTGACGTCATCAGTAGGAGGTATTGCCGTCATTAGGGTTCTGACGTCATCGGCAGGTTCATCCATGGAGGTGGGGGGACTTAGCGAGTTCGGGGGACTTAGCTACTGGGAGGAAGTGACTTCCTTGGGGCACGTCCTTGAAGGAGAGACTGTTCCAATACGAACTCTATCCACTGAGCTACAAGCACTCTACCCACTGAGCTACAAGCACTCTACCCACTGAGTACAAGCACTTGAGAACTGAGCCACATCCTGAACATAATTGCTGGACCCACCAGGATCTTTCCTGGGCCCAGGACCCTCACTTGGACCCCCACGAGGACTCAGTTATAGCACCATGTAAGCGTCTTCATTCACCAGAAATGTGAAGCCGCCCAGTGCCACCGCGTCTCCGGGCTGCGCGCCCCGGCGGGGGAGACAGAGCGACTGTGCACACAGCACCTCAGTCTGCGGGGCGGGCTGCGCCTCGGCATCGCAGAGCTGTACGAGCAGCACCTCCTCCGCGCCGCCATCCTGGCCTTTGCCGTCTCTGGGCAGTGGCGCCACGCGTTCGGTGTCGCTGATCCACTCCTGCCAGAGGGGAAAGGGGACTTAGCGCAGCACCTGAGACGTCATCCCGCAGGAGCTGCACGCCGCACGGTAAGTTGATGAACGCATCGCCTTAATGCTGAGACCTGTGGACCACCGTGACGACCACCCCGAGCCCCACTGAAAGCAGGTGCAGAGGTAGGACTTAGCGGTCAGCACTGTGCGGGGTGGGGCTGGGTTGCGCACCTGGAAGTTTCCGTCGTGTTGGTCGAAGAGCCCAGGGAAGCTGCACTTGGGGTCGGGCACGCCGGGCAGCAGGCGCTTCCAGACCCTGAGGTGACAGAGAGCGCATAGTAGGGCCGCGGACAGCGACGAGCACCGAGCGCACAGTGGGGCCACGGATGGGGAAGAGCGCCGAGTGCACAGTGGGGCCCCTCACCTGGCCAGCGCGCACAGCCCCAGCACCCCGAGCGCCGTCAGGAGGCCGAGCGCGACGCTCAGCGCGGGGAACGCGCTCTCAGCAGGCTGTGCCGTGCAGGACTCTGCAACGAGAGGGATACTCAGCATGGTGCTGCCAGCACCTAGCTCGGTCCTCCCGCGGACTTGAGGTCGGCACGAAGCGGTCAGGAAGCAGAGGTTTCCAGAGACCGAGCTGGGCGGGGGCGGGTGTGTGATGACGTGGGCGGTGAGGCTGGCGTGACGTGTGCTGTCATCTGTCGACCATGTATGATCGTCTATCTTGCATCGACCATCTTTGATTATTGATCATCTATTGATTATTGACCGTCTAGCTGTCGATCACATATCGATTAATCGACCATCAATCTATCCGTCTGTCCGCACATCTGCCCTGTATCTATTGATCATTCATCCATCCACCTATTTATCTATTATCTGTCATCTATTTATTTACCTATAATCTACCTACTGAGCAAACATCTATCGATTTATCGTCTGTCGACTATCACTGTCTGCCTGTTTATCTATTTATCATCTATCTATATATCGATAATCTCATCTGTTCTCTATCGACTGATCAATCATCTATCACTCATCTCTGTATTTACGTCTCTGCATATTGATCTATCGTCTATATATCAATTATGTATTGATCACCTATCCATCGATTGATCACCTGTCATCCGTGCGGCTGTTTACCTATTGATCATCTATCTATCGATTTTATTGATGTATCGTCTAGATATCAATTACCTATCATTGAGTATCGATCCTCTATCCACCGATCGATCGCCCATCTCCCTACGTATTGACGATCTATCGCCTGTGCTCTCCGGGCATCTCCCTCCATGTATTGTTCAGCAGCGCCTGTCCCGAAAGGCATCACGGGAGCGCGCTGCGTGTGTCGTCACCTGTGCGTCTGGCACCCCGCCAGTGCGTCACGTCCGTCCAGCTGCTGGGCCGAGCGTCGGCGCCGTAGATGGACGGTCGTGTAGTCACACGGGCCCGGAAGTCGTAGCAGCGCTCGGAGTCCAGGCCTGGCACCGTGATGTCACACGTGTTCTCCTCCCGGGACTGCAGACAGAAAGGTGATTGATTGATTGGTTGATTGACAGACCGATGGATGGATGATTGACAGACAGATGGATGACTGATTGACAAGTTCACTGATTGACACATGTAGGATTGAGAGATGATTGATTGACAGAAGATGGATCGATGATTGATCGATTGATACTTAGATACATGATTGGCAGATGACTGAGTCATAGATGGATGACCGATAGATGACTGATCAATTGATACACAGGCAAATGTAGATAGATTGATAGATGTTAGATAAAGAGATGGCAGATGGATGGATAACAGAAAGTTGACAGATAGATAATTGACAGGTAGATGATTGATACATGGACATATGATTGACAGATGATGCATACGTGATTGATACATCATTGATTGACAGATATATAGTTGACTGATTCATAGAGGATTGATAGATGACTGATCGGTTGATACATAGATAAATGATTGATAGGTTTATAGATAGAAACATGATTGATAGATCATTGATAGATTATTGACTGAGTGGTTGATAGAAATATGATTGCTAGACAGGTGACTGACAGATGGATGATGGATTGATAGATCGATGATGATGATTAACACATAGAAACATGGTCGGTAGATAGTTGACATTATTAATTGATCGGGAGCAGAGGCCGTTAAAAGGCTAACAACGAAAACATGAAAGATTATTGATTGATGGGTAGGTAAGTGATGGACAGATGGGTGATGGATGACAGGTCAATGATTGACAGACACATGATCGATGGCTAATTAACAGATACGTTATTGATTGATTGATAGGTGATTGACAGATGATGATTGACAGGTACATGATTGATAGAAAATTGACAGATTATTGAATGACCAATTGATCGACAGGTAGGTGATCGGCAGATGACTGACATGATGATTGACAGGTAGGGGACGGACGGGTCACAGACCTGCCAGTCAGGGTCCTCAGCGCTGCGGTGCTGGACCTCGTAGCGCAGCCCCTGCAGCGGGAGGTCGGTGCAGGTCACCGTGACGCCGTCGTTCCGCCACGTGAAGGACACGTTGCTCGGGGCCCGCGGCTGCACTGGGGAAACCGAGGCACGGCACGTGGAACACCGAGGACCAGCACCCTCCGTGCAGGGTGGTGCACACGGCGCTGAAAGCCCCTGGCCGAAACCCTGTCGCGACCCCGGCGCCCCACGAGGGGGGAGCACGGACCCCCCCATACACACGGCCGCCAGCGCTTTCGGATACAGCCCTTCCCGCCTGCCTTGGGTACTGGGTGCTGAGTCTCCCCGAACTCACGGTACTGAGAGGCGAAGTGCTTCTCGTTGAGCAGCGTGATGTTGCCGTCCAGGAGGGAGAAGTCCAGCAGCGCCAACCGTGCCGGGAACACGCAACCCGCCGTGAGGCCCCCGCGGAGCATGTAGCTTGGGCACGGCCGGAACGGCTCGGGGGCAAACCTGGGCTCAGGGACACTGGTACTTACCCACAGTGCTCCCGCGGCTGCTGAAAGCCCCTGACTATGTCCTCACCCTGCACAGCGGGGTTTTGATTGACACTTTGGGGAGGACTCAGCTCGGCACCCAGCGCAGCGTGCATATATAACAGATAGGCTGGGGTCCTCAATGGTGTTCACTGTGTGACAGGTGCAAGGTACTAGGTAATGGATGCACAGTACTAGGTACTGAGGGGTCATACAGGATGCTGAAAGTCCCTGACTGGTTGAGACGTTGGGGAGGACTCAGCTCAGCACCCAACGCGGTGTGCATATGTTACTGTCCTTCACTTTGTCATGGGTGCACAGTCCTAGGTAGTGGGTGACACTTTGAGGGGGGACTGAGGTCAGTACCCAACAGTGTGTATATATTACTCTTGGTCACTGTATCATGGGTGCACAGTACTAAGTACTGGGTGGTACTTTGGGAAGGACTCAGGTTAGCACCCAACACAGTGTGCATATGTGACAGGCTAGGGTTCCCCACTGTCGATCAGTGTGTGACGGGTGCGCGGCATTAGGTACTGGGTGCACGGTACTAGATACTGAGGGGCATACACTTTGCTGAAAGTCCCTGACCGATTGACACTTTGGGGAGGACTCAACTCAGCACGCAACACGGTGCCCATATGTTAGTGTCGTCCGCTGTGTCGCTGGGTGCTGGGTGCTGTGTGCTCGGTGGCAGGCCACCCACCTGTAGATGAACGTCAGGTTGGCGCCGCCGGCGTCGTGGGCGTTCCACGTCACGTGCATGGTCTCCAGGTTGAAGCACAGGATGCCAACCGGGAGCTCGTCCCCTGCGGAAAGTACCAGTACTTAGTGTGTTAAGTAGACGCGGGGACACACGGAGAGTCATGGACTGAGTCCACGTCAGTTCCCGCAACCGGGTCAGAGCACCGAGTGCGGGGTCCCCCGGGGACAAGGGCGCGGAGGTCAAGCGCACTGGTGCTCCTCGGAGGGGGACGGTCGTCCGGGGGACATGTGAGCGCCGGAAACCCGGAAAGACGACACAGACACACGAACATGTGCAGACACGGATGGACGGACAGACACCAAGAGGTGATGGGTGCAGATGCTGCTGCTGCTGGTCACGTCGTCACGATGATGGGGGTGGTGGTGGTGGTGGTGATGTCCTTTGGTGATGGTGTCATGTGATGATGACGGAGATTTTGATGAGGATGATGAGAATAATGTGACGTCACATGATAATGATGACGATGGTGCTGATGATGGTGGACTATGATGTCATGGTGATGGTGATGTCATGATGGTGATGGTGGTGGTGACGATGTCATCTTATGATGGTGGTGGTGGAAGATGATGTCATATGGTGATGACGTTGATGACGTGATGATGATGGTGATGATGACGGTGATGGTGATGCACACGTGCACGGCTACCCGGATAGACAAGTGGTTGCGTGAAGGGATGTTTGGAGACTCTGACACGCATTACCCGGCCTGGCACGCTGTGCCACTTGCGCGGCCGCGTGCTGGGTGCGTAACGTCGTCTTCTGACCACGTGCCCCGGGTCGATCTGCTTTTCCTTCAGCCCGTGTCATGCGAGCACACAGTGTACGCCGACGTAGCCTCTCCCCTGCTGACAGCTCTGTCTTCGTCATGACCCCTCTGACTTTCCCGGGTTTTTTTTGTCTTGGGGTTGATGTCATGCATGTCCTGAGCACGCACGCACGGTGCTGTGCGTTCCTGAAACCCGTTACTTCACGGCTCCCCTCCTTCCCACACAGTTCCCAGAGCCTGGGCGGCCTCGGTAGCATATCCCATTTGGGTGGAGATCTCAGCATTCCCTGCAGAGCAACGGCTGGTCATGCAGAGTACCCAGTTCCCAGCACCGACATGGCGACTGACAACGGTCCCTGCAACATCCTTCCATATTCCCTGTCAGCTGCACACACTCCTCCCCAAGTACAGAACTCTAAAAGTTCAGGACTAGGATCTCGCATGTATGACAGAGAACATTTGATGCTGGTGTTTGCATGTCAGGGTGAGGTCACCGTCCATCACTGTTTCCAGTTCCATCTCTCAACCTGCATGCTTCATAATTTCTTTTTTCCTGGCTGTAGAGTATTCCCCGGTGTGAATGTTGGGATCCAGGTACTTCTGGCTTTTTCAGGCTCCAAGTCACATCTGGACACTTTCACTTCGCTGAGCTCAAAGACTCCGAAAAGGGAAGTGCACGGGGTGAGTGGTGGGGGGTGCTACCCACAGTGCACCTGTTCCAGCGGGGGTGGGGTGGGGTTCCTGCGGGAAAGTTCTCACTTTCAGTGGGGAACTTCGGTGACGTCCACAGCAGGAGCTCTGAGGTCCCGGTGGACCGAGCACCGGAAGTGGTGGGTGTGGGCAGCCGAGGCCCCAGGAGTCAAGAGCCACATGGCAGCTGCATGCCAGGTCATGCGTGAGCACAGATGGACACAGATGCACATGTGAACACATACATACATTGATGCACATGTGATCACACACATGCATAGATAGATGTACATGTGGGTGCAGACATGGATACAGGCAGACGTGGATACAGGCATGGATTCACACATGCATACTCATGCATGGCTGCATGTATGCACACATCAGTACATACACCAATGCACAAGTACACATACATGGATGGACACATCACTACATACACCAGTGCACTCATACAGATACATACATGCACATATCAATACAGCGGCGCACACGTACAGACACATGCAGGCACCCGTCAATACACATGTATATATACATATGCGCACAAATAGACATATGTGCATATATAAATACACACGTACATAAATGCATGCGTGCACAAATATGAATACACATATAAATACATATGTAAATACATGCTTGCACTCATAAGTACATACATACACAAATGCATAAATACATATGTAAGTCACACATGCATACATTAATAGTAAAATAAATGAATGCCTAAATGCAAATACATACATAAACACAGACGTTCCTAAACTGATATGTAATAGATACATACATGAATACATGCATCCGTACTTGAATAAATACATATATACATGCAGATGTAAATTCATGCATGCATTAAATAGTAAAATGAATTGATACCTAAATGCATACAAAGACATGGATAAATGCATATGTGCATACGTATATATGTAAAGAGGCAAGTCCATGAACACATACGTAAATAAACGCATACAGAAATACACACATCCTCACATACATGCACTAATAGAAATATGCACGAATAAGTATGTAAATACATATACGAACATGTACATAAATACATATGTACATAAATACATAGTCTATAAATGGATGTATAAACACATACATAAATACATACATGCATGAACTTATGTATGAATATACACATGAACGTGTGCATAAATAACCATGTGTAAATCAGCATACAGGTAAATACATAAGTACATACATGAATCCACAATGCATACATATGTACATGGGTATGCAAAGATATACATGCATAAATGCACACATGCATGAATACATACGTTAATGGAGATGTGTATTAATATGTATGTAAATACATAGGTACACGAATACATATGAAATGCACAAACACATACATAAGTAAACACATGTATAATCACATACATATAGACACACATAAGTACCTGTGAACAAATACACATGTAAAGATATGCATGCATCAATATGTATATAAAGACGTGTATGGAGACATAAGTAGAAATAACCATGTCACCACACACAACCACACATGATGCACATGACCACACATGGGCTGCCTTTCTGTGTCCTTCGAGGCGGGTGTGCAGCCCCCGCTGGCCGGGATGTGGCCCCATAGCCCAGGCTGGCCCAGGCGGCGCGTCGTCCCACAGGTTTTTCCCGCGTGTCCCTGGGGCTAATCGTTCTGAGAATCGGCTGAGGGCAGAGACAGGAGGACTCGGCTCTCAGCACCGCGGAAGCTGAGCGGCGCAGCTCTGATCTAATCAGTACGGTGAGTAATCCCGGGCCCGAGACTCAGGTCAAGAAGCAGCACCTCAGGCCCACGGCACAGATGCAGCTCTGCAGACAAGCGCTGAGGCCCCAATTCAAAGCTCGGTGGTTGTTTACAAACGGGTGCTGTTTCCACAGTTCTGAGAATGCTAAGTCCAGCACCGAGGAGAGAAATAAACGGCCGTTAGGGGCGGAAATAGGACTTGGGCTCTGCATGCACAAAATTCCAACTCTGCACAACACTGAGGACTGAGTTCATCACCCATTCCGAGGCTGCTCAAGGACTTAGTTCTTCACCCGTTCCAACTCTGCTCATGCCAAGGACTGAGTTCATCAGCACGAAGACCGAGTTCATCACCCATTCCAACTCTGCTCATCCCAAGGACTGAGTTCATCACCCATTCCAACGCTGCTCATCTCGAAGACTGAGTTCATCATCCCAGGGACTTAGCTCATCACCCTTTCTCGAGGGTGAGGGGCAGACGCTTTGTAGGATGTGTTCTTCACACTCAGTAAACACCAAGTTAGTGTCAAGACGCAGCCCAGGTTAGACCCCGACCCACTACAACGCCGAGGGGGACACACTGAGCTACACGCACTCTACCCACTGAGCCACAAACACTCTGACCACTGAGCATAAGCACTGACTACTAAACACAAGCACTCTACCCACTGAGCCTCAAGCACTCTGCCCACTGAGCCACAAGCCCTGGGAAGTTGGTAGAGGACTGTGTCTAAGCACCTTCACACACGCACAGTGCAGTTACACACGACAACGAATCGATTAAATACCTGAAAATGAATGAATGGTTTAAAACAAATCAAGATCCCACAAGAATAAACAGGCAAATAAACGAATCAATCTTTTTTCTGGCGGCTGCGCCCGCTGGGAAAGTGCTGGGATCTGAGTCCTCCCACCCGGATCAGGACTCGATCACGACCCAGATCAGTACCCGGATCAGGACTCGGATCAGCACCCAGCGGCCACTCACCCGACCCCACGTCCTCCGAGGCCGCCAGGGCGCACAGCAGCAGCAACACGGTGGCCGCCCAGGTCCGCATGTCCCCGGGGAAGCAGGTGGCCGCTGGGACTGAGTTCTCAGCACTGACAGGCGGAGCTCATGCTGCTGAAAAGAAGAAGGCAATTAGGGAACTGGGCACCGGCAGGAAGCAGTCGGGGCTGATGTTCCCCCAAGATTAGGAGTGGGGGTTGGGGGCGGGGGGACTGTGTGATCGTGGACCGAGTACCTCATGGACTGAGTTCATGGACTGAGTACTCCATGGACTGAGTTCTTATGTACTGAGTGCTCATGGACCAAGTACTCCATGGACCGGGTGCTCATGTACTGAGTTCTCATGGACCAAGTACTCCATGGACTGAGTTCTCATGGACCAAGTACTCCATGGACCGGGTGCTCGTGTACTGAGTTCTCATGGACCAAGTACTCCATGGACTGAGTTCTCATGGACCAAGTACTCCATGGACTGAGTTCTTATGGACTGAGTACTCCAAGGACCGAGCATTCCATGAACTGAGTATTCCATGGACTGAGTTCTTATGGATTGAGTACTTCAAGGACCGAGTATTCCATGAACTGAGTATTCCATGGACTGAGTTCTTATGGACTGAGTACTCCATGGACTGAGTTCTCATGGACTGAGGACTCCATGGACTGAGTACTCCATGGACCGAGTTCTCGTGGACTGATTCAACTCCATGGACTGAGTTTTCATGGACTGAGTTCTCATGGACCAAGCACTCCATGGTCTGAGTCCACGGGGGCTGAATGTCATCCCCGCCCCCTCACCGATCCGAATCTGTCCCGGATGTCTGACGTCACTACTGCACGCCGCTATCAGGCCCCGCATCACCCCTGAAGGAGCACGGGATGAATCACCCAGCTCAGGCGCGCCCAGCACCCAGTTCCGTGACCCATGAGTGCTGGGGTGGGAGGACTGAGCCTCCAGACCTGACAGTGCTGTGCTTTGTTTTCTGGAGCTGAGGGTGCAGTCCACACTCGGGTCCGAGAACGCGCACCCCCGGAGCACCGAGTTCGAATTTCACAATGATGTGGGTGTTGTTTGCTATGTCATTGGAGCTGAGCCGAGTCCCAAGCATTCTAGCCTATGTCCAGGATACTGACTGAGTTCCCAGTACTCGGGGCTGTCTGCCGGGTACTGAGCTGAGTCCCAAGCACTATGGTCTTCCTGCTAGGTACTAAGTCCCAAACACTCTTGGCTATCTGGTGGTGCTGACCTGAGTCCCAAGCACTCTGGCTTATCACCTAGATACTGACTCAGTTCCAAGCACTCTGGCCTACCTGCTGGGCACTGAGTCCCCAGCACTCTTGCCTATCCACTGGGTACTGACTGAGTCCAAAGCACTCTGGTCTGCTGGGTACTGGTTGAGTCCTCAGTACTCTGGCCTGTCTTCGGGTACTGAGTCCTAAGTACTTGGGCCTATCTGTCGGTACTGAGCTGAGTCCTGAATATTCTGCACTCTCTCCTGACCTCAATTCCAAGCACTCTGGCCTGTCTACAGGGTAATGGCTGGGCCCCAAGCACTCTGATCTATCTGCTGGGGACTGACTGAGCCCCAGCACTCTGGCCTATATGCAGGGTAAGGGCTGAGTCCCAAGCACTCTGGCCTGTCTGATAGGTACCGACTGAGTCCACAGCACTCTGGCCTGTCTGCTAGATACCAACTGAGTCCCCAGCACTCTGGCCTATTTATAGGTAATGACTGAGTCCTCAGCACTCTGGCCAGCCTGATGGATACCGACGGAGTCCCCAGCACACTGGCCTTTCTGCTGCGTATTGACTGAGTCCCCAGCACTCTGCCCTATACGCAGGGTAACGGCTGAGTCTCAAGCACTCTGGTCTATCTGCCGGGAACTGACAGAGTCCCCAGCATTCTGGCCTATCTGCGGGTACTGACTGAGTCCCCAGCACTCTGGCCGATCTACTGGAGACCGACTGAGTCCCCAGCACTCTGGCCTGTCTGCTGGATACACACTGAGTTCCCGGCACTCTGACCTATCTACCGGGTACTGACTGAGTCCCCAGCACTCTGACCTATCTACCGGGTACTGACTGAGACCCCAGCACTCTGACCTATCTACCGGGTACTGACTGAGTCCCCAGCACTCTGGTCTGTCTGCTGGGTGCCGACTGAGTCCCCAGCACTCTGACCTATCTACCGGGTACTGACTGAGTCGCCAGCACTCTGGCCTGTCTGCTGGATACACACTGAGTTCCCAGCACTCTGGCCTATCTACCGGGTACTGACTGAGTCCCCAGCACTCTGACCTATCTACCGGGTACTGACTGAGTCTCCAGTACTCTGGCCCACCTGCATGTACTGACTGAGTCCCCAGCACTCTGGTCTGTCTGCCGGGTACTGACTGAGTCCAAAGTACTCTGGCCTATCTTTGGGGTACTGAACTGAGTCCCAAGCACTCTGGCCTACCTGCCGGGTACTGACTGAGTCCCCAGCACTCTTACCTATTTGGGTACTGACTGAGTCCAAAGTCTCTGGCATATCTGCTGGGCATTGACTGAGTCCCTAGCACTCTGGCCTGTCTTCGGGTACTTATTGAGTCCCAAGTAGTCGGGCCTATCGGCTGGATACTGAGCTGAGTCCCAAGCATTCTGGACTATCTCCTGGATAATAACTGAGTCCTCAGCACTCTGGACATTTCCTGGGTACTGACAGAGTCCCCAGTACTCTGGCCTATTTGCAGGGAGCTGACTGAGTCCCCAGCACTGTGCTCTATCTGCAGGTTGCTGACAGAGTGTCCACCACTCTGGCCTATCCGCTAGGTATGGACTGAGTTCCCAGCACTCTGACTTGGATGCCAGGTACAGACTGAGTCCCCAGCACTCTGGCCTATCTGCTGGGTACTGATTGAGTCTCCAGCACTCTGGCCTACCTGCTGGGTACTGACTGAGTCCCCAGCACTCTGGCCTATCTGCAGGGTGCAGACTGAGTCCCCCGCCGGCTGCTCATCAAAACTCAAGTCCCTAGTGGTCCTTGACAGGCAGGAAACGTCACCTGGGACTTTTAATGTGAAGGAAACTCCTCCCTGCACAACTGTAGGCCGCAGTTTGTCCAGCAGGAACCGACCCCAGACCCGGAAGAGAGAGGAGGACGATGATTGACAGGAGGAGATGATTGACAGGAGGAGCCCGAGGCAAGGGGCGGCCTGGGAAGCCACGTTCATGGGAACCCAGTGTCTGGAGACGCTGTCCCGGTCATTATGGGATGGACGGGTGGTCCCGGTCATTATGGGATGGAGAGGTGGTCCCGGTCATTATGGGATGGAGAGGTGGTCCTGGTCATTATGGGGTGGAGACATGGTCCCGGTCATGATGGGATGGACACATGGTCCTGGTCATTATGGGATGGACACATGGTCCTGGGCTATTATGGGATGGAGGCATGGTCCTGGTTGTTATGGGATGGAGACATGGTCCTGGGTTATTATGGGGTGGAGACAGGGTCCTGGTCACATGGACGATCACATTTTCCTAAGACTCTGACTGTTAGTTCTTCCTCATCGTGGATGTGATGACACATTAAGTCATTTTTGGCCTTTTCTGGCATTTCGTGGTTTCTGGATGTCGGACCAGGTCTGCAGGAACCTATGTCCTTCAGTCTGAGTAATCGACATGCAGGAACCACCCCCCTCAAGAATCTCGGGAAGAGGCTCGTGCTTGGTGGTTACAGGGAGTGCTTGTGCGGGGGGAATAGTGTTTGTGCTTGGTTGGGTACGGGGTGGGGAGTGCTTGTGCTTGGTGTGGTCCAGCCCAGGAGGACGGCCCCACAGTGACCCCCGCCGGCCGTGGGCAGTGACCACAGGTCCAGCCCAGAAACAGGAAGCAGAGGCTGTGACAGCAGATTACTAACAGCCCTGGACGCCATCCGCCAGCCCAGCGTGCACACGGCACCACAAACCTGTGCACACGGCACCACAGAACCTGTGCACACGGCACCACAGCATGAAGAGCTAGTCCTAGGTCATTATGGGATGGAGAGATGGTTCTGGGTCATTATGGGATGGAGACGTGGTCAGGGTCATTATGGGATGGAGACGTGGTCAGGGTCATTATGGGATGGAGACGTGGTCCTGGGCCACATCAGCTGGAAGCTCTTGCTGCTGCTGCTGCTGCAGACCTGAGTTCAGATCCGAGTACCCACTTGGCGGCATACAACCATCGCCATCTCCAGCTCTAGGGGACATGGTACATTGGACTCTGTGGTCACTGCACATGTGATGCCCACAGAGGAGTTTAATTTTTTTTTTTTTCGGTGCTCTGAACCTCGGTCACTCAGCTGCAGCCACCCCAGCAGCGTTCAGAAGGAAGCTGTGCTTTGCAACAGTCGGAGTCGGAGCGGGCGTGTCTTTCTCCGCAGGGAACCGGTCGTTGGGAAACTTCTACACTCGGCTGCTTTGCGGACCCTGGACGGCCTACGTGGCCTCAGTCACCACTCAAGAGCGAGTGGCGCCAAGCGCGCGGGTAATGATCCGCGTCCCTTCCGCGGGTCTGTGGCACCTACGAAGCAGCACCCCGGCGCCTGGGAACCGGAACCCAGGACCAGGTGAGCGGCTGAGGTCACCCGTGGCCTCCGTCCTCCGGGGAAAGGAGGAAGTTGACACACGTCAGCGGAGCGGATTTGGAAACGTGACGGTTTCTGGGAAGGAGCACGCGGAGCCTTTACCGGGAAGGGACGCGCCCGGGCCCTGCAGATGTCCCGGTTCTCAGCAGCTGCGCCAGCTCCGCCCCGAGGCGACACCAGTCAGTGCCAGCCGGCTGCGCGCGGACAGCGAGTGCAGGGAAATGCGTGCAGAGGGAACGCGGCGCACGGTGAGTGTCACGGTCCCCAAGCACCCGGGGCGGGAACATTGCCGCATGCAGGGGAGCCCGTGGGATCCACGCGCGAGGTGACGCGGGAACCTCCGTGCCAGCGGTGGGGGTGGAAACGCTGCTGCATACCGAGGACACACTCTGCTGGGGACAGTCGGCCGTAGACAGCTGCGCGCACAAGAGAAAGTCAGACGTGGATGACGGATGGGGGAGTGCGAGGATGTCGGACGGACGGACGGACGGACGATGATGGGGGTGCGATAATGCTGCTGATGGTGGTGGTGATGACGCTGATGGTGATGGTGGTGGTGGTGATGACGGTGGTGATGGTGGTGATGATTGTGGTGACGGTGATGGTGATGGTGGTGATGATTGTGGTGATGATGATGGTGGTGATGGTGGTGCTGGTGATGGTGGTGGTGGTTGGCTGTGCAGCACAGACGTGGGTGACGGATGGGGGAGTGCGAGGATGTCGGACGGACGGACGGACGGACGGACGATGATGGGGGTGCGATAATGCTGATGATGGTGGTGGTGATGACGCTGATGGTGATGGTGGTGGTGGTGATGACGGTGGTGATGGTGGTGATGATTGTGGTGACGGTGATGGTGGTGATGGTGGTGCTGGTGATGGTGGTGGTGGTTGGCTGTGCAGCTGATGGACGGACGGATGGACAGTTAACACTCATAGATTAATTGATCCGCAGATACACAGATGGGCGCCGATAGAAACAACCAAAACGGAGGCCAGCAAGGTGCCTGGGTGGCTACAGTGGTTTCCGCAGACGCACAGGAACCTGCGTTCACGTCCCAGCATCACATAAAAGTCCAGGCACGACGTCGTGTGAACCCCAGCCCTGGGATGCGGAGCCGAAGCCGTTTGCTGTCCAGGCAGGTGTGTCAGTCACTGAGCTCCAGGGTCGGTGCGAGACTGTGTCAAAATCAGGTGGAGAACTGAGGAAAACACCCAAAGTCCACGTCCTCACTGCACGTGTGAAGACACATGTGCACATGACCTGACTGCGACCACGTGATCTGTTTGGGTCACAGGTGACACGTCGCAGTCACGGCACGTGAATACCGCAACATGTGAACGTCACGTGTGGGTTCGGGCCAGCGAGTCCTGTCCGCAGACCCCTCAGGCCTCAGATCAGAGCCTCCCGGGGCCAGCACACAGTGGGTCCCTCCCCTGCCCCGTTACACACGGCACCAGGCCGGGCCGTGACAAGGAGGCCTGGCCTCTCTACTCAGTACCTGGGTTTTGTGGAGTACTGAGTTCAAGTCTCACCAACCCAGTGCGAATTCAAGCACAAGGACTTTGCACTAAGCACCCTCTCCACACCGAGCCCAAAGACGGTCCCAGAAGTGAGACTTGAACTTCTGCCAAGCGAGGCTTTTGTGAGGAAACCAGAGGTGTCGGTGTCGGTTTTCAAGACCTTCCGACCTCTCGGTACTGGGTACTTGGTCTCTTGTTCAAGTGAAGGGGTTGGTGGGATGGCACGGGGGAGAAGGTGCTTGCTGCTAAGTCTGAGGATTTAAATACACAGCACCAACATGGAGAAAGAAGAAAACCAACACACACACATTACCTGAGCTACACGCGTGTTCGAGGTGCACGTGAGCCAACACAAGTAAATTACAAACAAGAATCGATGTGATGAAATGCACAGTTTCCTGGTGTGTGCCTCCACCCCTGCTCCCCCAGGGTGCTTGTGGGATGGAGCTTAGTTCCATCTTCTCTTTCAGCACCGTTTGCCACCAGGGTGCTTGTGTGACAGAACTCAGTTCCACGGTGTCTTTCAGTAACATTTGTCCCGAGTGACCCTGACCCTGGGTCTTTGCACCATCCTAGCGCTGCTCCTAGAGGGCTCGAGCAGGAGGGGAGAGGCGTCGCACAGGTCACGAGGGCCGATATCACGGAGCGTGGGGTGTGAGTGACATCGTGTAGGTCCTCCGAGGCTGTGAGCTGTGGGTGACGTCACCGAGGCCCCCCCTGCAGCCAATCACCGGCCCCGCCCGGTCCCGGGTTTCCCAACCTCATATGAGGAAGGGACTTTCAGTGACATGAGCTGCGGTGGGGGACGGAGCAGCTCAGGCCCCAAAACCCAGCGACAGCGGGATGCCGAGGCCGGTGAGTACCGAGCGTCACAGGTGCTGGTGACTGACTGGACATCGCGGTTTCTGGGGCTCACCCCCTGAAAGTTTCCGGCACAGCCTCCTGAAAGGCCTCTGTTTCCCGGGATTGAGGAAGGGGTGCTGGACTTTGTCCCCCCCATCCTCCCGTGCTTGAGCTGGGTCAGTGCTGTCACTGAGTCCCCCGGGGAGCCCCGAATCCACAGTTCCCAGGAGGAACACCCAGCACCCAGCACTTTGCAAGCACCTACGGTCCTCAATCCAGCCGCACATCCACAGCAAAGGGAAAGGACGGGGAGGGAGGGGAAGACCGAGGTCTCGGGTGTTGGGGATGTTGGGGACGAGGGGAGGATCACCTGTTCTCCGAGTAACCCAGGCGCTCATCCTGCCGAGTGCTCCTCCTTGGGTGATTAGTTCTCAGTCCCCCTGAGCCTCTCACCCGTACTGCTTTGAGAGCATCAGCCCAGTGCATTGTGGGAAAATCCGAAGCCCTCTCAGCCCCGACCTGCCCACAGGACTCCCCGTGGGTATTTTCAGCACGGTGATCCCTGCCGGGTGGGCTCGGGAGGTGCCGGGCGCTGAGTTGCTTTTCTTTCCCAAGTTTGGAGAAGTTGGTAGTTGGCTGCGTCGCCATGGAAACCGGAAAAAGGAAGTGAACCGGGAACTGCTAAGTGCTGGGGCTCGGTTTTTGCACACCACCCCGGCTGGGGTAGGGGGGGTAAGCGGGGAAGGAGAAGGGGACAAAATGACCCCCCCCCTAGGGGGACTCGGTATGGAAACTACTTGTGCCACCAAGGGGAGTACTGAGTCTGAAAACCAGCACCCAACCAAGGAACAAATTTAAAAATCAAGTACTGAGTACCGGGAATCCCGGAGCTAAGGAAGGACGCAGGCGGGAACCGCGAGGATCGTGGGGGACCTAGCTCAGCGGGTGACAGCACCGGCCGCTCGGGCAGAGGGTGGAACTCGGTTCCCAGCACCCACGTTCAGGTGTCCAGCCTGTGGAAACTCATGCTCCAGGGATGCAGCGCAGCCGCAAAGCATGCCGGGGGGGGGGTTCAGACCAGCTGCGCCCATGGGGAGCGGGGCCGCCTCCTCACCGCACGCCTCTCCCGCAGCCCCGCGCCCCCGCACTCCCCGTGCGCGCCGTGTCGCCCCTGGTGCTGTGCTTGGTTCTCCTGCCCCCGGCATTCCTCGGGACACCGGAACCTGCAGGTGGGTGTGCGCGGGGCGCGGGGGGCGGGGGGCAAACCAGAGTGATGCTCCCAGCATTATCGAACTTGGGCGGGGTGGGCGGGGGAGGATGGACAAGGGCAGACCAGAGGAGTGATCCCGGAATTATGGATCTGGGGGAGAGCATGGTCAAAACAGACCAAAGTGATGATCCCAGCATCATCGAACTCGGGGGGTGGATTTATTGGGTTTTCTTACTCGCCACCCCCCCCGCATGTCCCATGATCCTTTGCAACTGTCTCCTAAGATGGGAACGGGTGAAGTCTGTGCACGACCACCTGAAAGTCCAGCTCCAGGTTATTCTCCGCTCTCTTTGGGCCTAAGGAGGGCGTCGCATGCATGTGGTGCGCAAACATGCGGACATATGTGCAGGCATACGTGTGGATTTGTGCGCAGGCAAAACACTGGGCTAAAGGGCACTAGGGGTCTGCATGTTGTGCTGCTTGTTGGGCCGAGTGCCGTGTGCATAGGGCAGAAGACTGGCAGCGAGTCTCCTACAGCTGGAGTCTCGGTAGGTTGTGCACCCGGTGAGTGCTTGGGAACCCAGTCCTCTGCAGGAACCGGTACTGCTGTTCACGGCTGAGCCGTGTCTCTGGGCCTTGGGTCCCGCCTCATGGCTCAGAGGACTCGCTTTCCGTTCCCAGCACCCACGTGGTGGGCACAACCTCCTGAACCTGCAGTTCCAGGGGATCCCACCTCGTCTTCTGGCCTCCCGAGGCACCGCACACACACGATGCACTCACACACATGCGGGCGAACACGTAACATCAATAATTAATTTTTATTGATTTATTGATCAATTTTAATTAATTTCAATTTTATTATAAAATTATAGTTGATTTAAAATATTTTAATTCATGTTAATCTTAATTATTGTCATTTATTTTCATGAACACACGCAGTGAGCATGCGCGTGCACGTATCATTAATTTTTAAAATTTTAATTATTAATTTTGATTTAGTTTTAATTACTGGATTTTAATTATTTTTATTGCTTAATTCTAATTTTTAATTTTGAATATTTTTTGTTTGTTCCTTTAAAATTTCTTTTCTTTTAAAATTATTTTTCTTTTAATTGATTTGAAATTTCAATTCATTTTAATTTTAAAATTTTTTTCACGAGTTTAGTGAACTTTAATTGATTCCGCAACTTAAACGACTTTGAAGCCCAGGATTAACTCCACCTTGTGCTGCGAACCCTCAGTGCGGATCCTGGGCTCGGCTTCCTGAAACGCAGGCTTAGCTGCGTCCGGCCTGAGCCCGTTCCTCCCCTAGCCCGGGATTCCCGGGGAATTCCACTTCCATGTTTGGTTGCCCGAGGGGGTCAAAAGTCTCTGGACCCTTGTCTGCACTCCCAGCCCGCAGCTCGTGTTTGCATGTGGGGCCTTTGGAGGGGTGACTGTGCATGTGTTGACTACATGTGTGTGGACACCAGTGCATCTGTGTGAAGCGCATTGCATATGTGTCTAGTACACTGCATGCGATATGTATGTGTAAGGGAAGTGCACATGTATAAAGGGCAATGCATGTGTGTAGATGCATTGTGTGTAAGTGCACTGCATGCATGTAAAGTGCACTGCACGTGTGTAAAGGGCAATGCATGTGTGTAACTGCACTGCACGTGTGTAAAGGGCAATGCATGTGTGTAACTGCACTGCACGTGTGTAAAGGGCAATGCATGTGTGTAACTGCACTGCATGTGTGTAAACGGCAATGCATATGTGTATAGTGCAGTGCATGTGTGTAGCTGCACTGCGTGTATGTATGGTGCACTACATGTGTGCAAAGTGCATTGCATGTCTGTCGGTTAAGTGAACTGCACATATGTAAAGCGCAGTGCATGCAGGTAAGTGCAGTACATGTGTGTACATGAAGTGCATGTGTGTAAAGTGCACAGCATGTATGTAGGTGCACTGCATGTGTGTATGCGCGCCCGTTGCATGCAATGCCTGAGGAGGTCAGAGGAGGCCAATGGATCCCCTGGTACTGGAGTTATGGCGGTACCACCGTGTGGGTGCTGGGAACCGAGTCCTCCACGGGAGCAGCCGGTGCGAGCACTGCCGAGCCGTCTCTCCAGCCTCGATAAATAGAACATTTTACTAAAAACGGAGACGGGAGCTTTGCCCAGGCCAGTTGGGGGTCGCAATCCCTCGGGGTTGGGGGACAGCAGCAGCAGTGTCTAACTGACGTCACCGTCCTCCAGCTGTGACGCCCCAGGAACCCGAGCCTGAGCTCAATGTGACATTCAACCCCCGGACCTGGACGCTGACCTGGGCCTGTCGGGAAAACGTCACCGTCACCATGTGCATCGTGACCAAGGCTGGAGGGCCCAGGCCCAGCACCAAGGTAGGCGCACTCTCGTGGGAGAGCTGCCGTGGCTCAGGCTCTGCACAAGGCCCTGGGACCCACGTCCGATGTGGGGATGGGGGCGCCGAAGGGCAGGGAAACAGACCTGGTGAGTCCATGACAGACACAATGGATAGACTTGAGAGATACAGATGGTACATGGTGAGTGCGTGACGGATGTGACGTGATGGTGACGTCTGTGACACAAAGAGATGCAGAGACATGAGTGGGGGTGGATGATGACGACGATGGTAATGGTGATGGTGGTGGTGGTGGTGGTGATGGTGGTGATGGTGGTGGTGGTGGTGACGGATGACTGATGATGGATGATTGTGGATGGTTGGGTGAACAGATGGCTGGGTGGGCAGGTGCATAGATGGATGGATTGATGCACGGTGGATGGGTGCGCATGTGTTGGTTGACAAATGGACCAATGCACGTGTGCGTGCATGTTTGTGGTCCATCGCAGCCCTGCAGAAAGTTCATGAGCCCCACTGCAGAGTTTCTGGATTTGTGTCCGACTTGCTAACTCCTCTGAATTTGGCAGGTTTGGGTCGTGGGGTCCACAGAGGCCTCGAACAGGGGCTCGTGTTCTGGGTCGGGTGTATGGACACCGGTGGGAGGCGCATCTATGTATCATCGGTGCCAACGAACCTTGTGTGCCCACGTAGCCCAGGAAGGACGCGTGTGGTTGCACGTTCCGACGGCTGCTCCTGCACCAAGGACTGAGTCTCGAAGTTCAAGCCACCGTCAACCGGACCGTCATTCGCCAGAAACTCGCTTACGTCAACCCAGGTGGGGCGCCTCGGGGTCCCCGCCGAACACATACTCCGAAAGCTGCTTAACTAAGAAGGGAGAAAGAATGACGTTCAGGTCACAGTCCCCAGGTTCCCAAGCCAGCACGAGCCGGGAGAAACTGCTTACATGTGCACACAAGCTCAGTTTCTCCAGGTTACACCCGGCTGGTTCCCACCCACAATTCAGTTGGGTCTTCCTGGTTAGAGCACTGGCTGCTCCTGCAGAGGACTCGGTTCCAAGTACCCACACGGCGGCTCACAACTGTCCGTAACTCCAGTTCCTGCAAGGTGTCTCCTGCCCTCCACATGCATGATGTCATGTGTGACAGACACACACGGACTAGATAGGTAGATCATAGATGGACTAATCACTGATCGTTCCATGGATCGATAGATAGTTAAATAGATGATACATAGATGGATCAATTGATTGGATGATGGATAGATGGATAATAGATCAACTGATCAATTGATGCATCGATAGCTACATGATAGATTAATCAATTGAAGGATTAATACATGTTACAGTACCCACACGGCGGCTCACAACCGTCCGTAACTCCAGTTCCTGCAGGGTGTCTCCTGCCCTCCACATGCACGATGTCGTGTGTGCACACAGACACACACGGACTAGATAGGTAGATCATAGGTGGACTGATCACTGATCGTTCCATGGATCAATAGATAGTTAAATAGATGATACATAGATGGATCAATTGATTGGATGATGGATAGATGGATAATAGATCAACTGATCAATTGATGCATCGATAGCTACATGATAGATTAATCAATTGAAGGATTAATACATGTTAGATAAACCGATCA